CCCACCCTTCCCTATGTACGAAGACTTTGTTTCCATTTTCTCCTTTTCTTATATTTTTTCTTTTCCCTCATTTCCTTTCCCCTACCCTTCCCACTTCCCCTATACCTTGAGAAAATAGATATTTAAATAGACAAAATACACACCCCATTTTAAATAAACAAAAATATAAAAGGTTGATCTGATAGCTGGATGAGTTCATTTTCTGTCTTTGAACAAAGAAACTGGTTAATAACCAAAACCTCTCTTCTAATTCTAAGATCAAAGTAGGTTCCCCAATATCCTTTTCCCCTTTTTATAAACTGATTTAAACACAGTTATTAAATATTAACTATATGGCAAGCCACGTTCCAAAAAATGGAAACAAGTGGGTGTAGGATCTATGGTCTTTCCCTTGGACTGTTCAAAGTATGAAAGAGGAAAGAGTCCTGTAAACAAAATCACCATGCACTTTGGCAGCTGTAACAGTGAAGCTATGTACAAAGCATCAGGAAAGCATGAGAGTTGTGATTAATGGACCTTTTAGGGAGAGGTGTGGAACAGGCTCTTGAGATAAGTTGCATTTGAATTGGGCTGAATGGTTCCATCAGTCAGTGTCAGCAAGATTATGCCATGGTAACAAACACCACCAAATTTCTGTTGGTCTAGCACAAGCACAAAAGTTTATATCTCACTTGCATTACACATACAATTGTGACTAGCAGAGTTCTCCACAGGTGGGGGCAGTCTCCAGGAGCCGCAGGTGACAGAGACTGTGGACACCAGCCTCAGGACTCAGCAACTCCCTCCTCTCCAAACTCCTCCCAGGAAATTTCTGCCTGTCTGATGTGTAGCACATCTACTCATAACATCTTAGAAAAAGCAAGTCACCTGACCACATCTAGTTGAAAACGAAGTGGGAAAAGAACAATCCTACCAAGTACTGTTGTGGGATCCTGGAGGGCAGGAATGCGCCTCGGCCTCCCTCAGATCCCAGCACACACCAGGGGCTCAGAGCAGAGGTGTGAGCTGGGGTTGACAAAGGTGCCTTGGCCTGGAGCTCTCGGCTCCATGAGGCACCCAGCACCGTGGGGCAGGAGAGAGCCAGAGGCCGGCAGCTGGGCGTCCGCAGCAGGTCTTTAGGAGAAGCTTCACAGAGCAGAGTCCGGCTGCAGGGCGGGAGGCTGGAGGATCCGGCTGGGCTCACAGGAGCGTGGGCTGGGGAATCTGGCAGATCCAGGCTCAGAGCCACCTGCTCCATCACCCGGAGCTGTGAGCTGCTGTGGGAGTCATGTCTGGCCTCCTGGGCCAGCCCCCTTCTCCGCTTCTTTACTTCTGCAACAGGAGGGCGACTCCTGCCTGCCTCCTGGGCCGGAGGGGGGATTGATCCTGGGACCAGCGCCTGCAGGACCACACAGAGTCAGCCTTTGGGAGCCTTACTCGGGACCACAGGAAATTACCACCGGACGCCCATTTTTGACACATGAAATAGGAGTTTCTAGGACTTGGAGATGATAGTGTCGCCTCTCTGGCTGCCTGGTGTGGAGGTTCTTGCCACCCCTCGCCCCTCCAAGCACACTGTGTTAGGCCCTGGTGATAAACTCTTTCTTTCTGCGTCCACCATAATGATGTCCGAGGCTCTGTGGTCCTGTCCCGGGCACAAGTTGTTGGCTGCTGGCATTGTCCTCGGGCAGGAGGGGCTGCAGGGTTGGAAGAGTCTTTGTTTCCAGCGTGGCCACTTACGTCTTGAGCAAGCTCGGCTTTCTCATCTGTCCGATCAGATGATAACAGTATCTGCTTCCTGGGGCGTTACAAGGATTAAGTGAATCGACCCTTAAGGTCATATTGTGAGTTAGAAAATGTGCAAATACGATTTGCAAGCCATTTTTAGGAAATGCTGGCAAGGATTTAAAGCACGCTGGTACTTTCTAAGGGCTGAAAGTCTGAGTATTTGGTATTGTTATATGGGAGTGGGTTTTGTCTGTGGGGTATGAGTTTGGGAGGCATGGAGTACCTGAAGGGGTGGAGGAGACCCCTGCACTGACCCCAAGTTCCCCCAGCCCTGCCTCCCCAGGCCCGGCTCTGTCTCCAAATACACACAAGACAGATGCTTTAGAAAGATGAGCGGCCAAGCAGCAGCTGGGGCTGGCAGGCATCTAGAACCCTCTGGCCTCCAAGCTCTAGGAGGGCCACGCAGTGAGACCCGGGCTGTCTCAAGGGTAGAGTGTGGCAGGTCAAATGTGACAATCCCCGGTGAGTACTCAGACAGTCTCGGCCCGGTGAGTGCCGTCCAGGGGTTTGGCAATGTTAAGCAACCCTTGCCTCCCAACAGCAAGCAGCAGGTGTGACCACGACGCTTGATGGTGTCAGCTTGTCCGGCCTGGGCCCGCCCAGGGAATCAGTGGTGCATCTGTGTGGGTCGGGGTGTGACCGCAAGTTCCACAGCTGGTCCCTCACTTGTTCCTCTCTGGCACTTCCTGGCCACCATGTGTTGGGCAGCTTTGCTCCCCACACCCTGATGCCGTGATGTGCTCCTGCCTTGGAGCCTGCTGACCACCGACTGAATCCTCTGAAACCATGAGCCAAACAAAACCTCTTCTCCTTTACGTTGTGGGCATTGGCTGTTGGGTCCCAGCCATGGGACAGCTGACTCAGCTGGGTTCTTAGTCTGTTCTATTCAGGGCGCGTGCCAAGTTCCTAGAGAGACCCTGGGCATTTTCAGGAATGGGATCGATACTTGCCTCGTGGATGATTTTGTTGCCACCTGTAATGTAAGAAGGATCCTGTTAAGCCAAGCATGGTAATCCTAGCACTTGGGAGGCTCAGGCAGGAGGATCATTTGGGAGTTCAAGGCCAGATGAGGCTACAGAGTGAGACTTCGGCTCATTACATAAATAAGTAAGTAGCTGAATAGTGAACTATGTGGAATTATTTATCTATTTAGAGTGGTAAACCTCCACCAGCGATCCAGTTGCTGGTTCTGTTCAGAGCCCCATCCTCCATCTTCCTGGCTCTAAGCCTGAGCCCCCAGCCGGCCACACTCACCCCGCCCAGACCCCCAGTGCCTTTCCTAGGCCTTCGCATAGACCCCACTCTTGCTGAACACTCACCTCTACTTCTTCCCCCGGGTCCTGCTCTGTCTTTTCTGGAGCTTCCTTGTGGATGTCCTTAGCTAACTGTGACTAGAAGGCCAGTCTGTTGTGCCAGTGAACAAAGACCCTGGGCATTTTCGATATTAATTTTTGTTTTACGGTACTGGGAATCGAACTTGGGACTTTGCGCTTGCAAGGCAGGTGGCGGCAGCACTGAGCTGAATCCCTGGCCCTCTTGATATTTGCATTGGAACCTGATTGTACCCACAGCGTCGAATTCTCCTCCAGGATGCGCTTTCCCCCAAGCTCCACAATGTAGCCGTGAACGTCCCATCAGTCTGCCCTGAGAACACTGCTAAGCCTACCTTCCTCCACCATCTTCGCTCTCTCACACTCAGATCATATTTGTTTTTTTTCCCCATTTAGATTTCACCACAGTCATAACTGTGACTGCTTTCCTGGATTGCAGCCTGCAGACCCAGTGTTTGTCCGAAGACTTCATCCTCCACCTGTGTGCAGGTAATTAACACCTTTTTATTTGTCCTTGTGTGGCGCTTGCCCTTTGAAGTTTTCTGTTGTCACCTGGTCCCAGCGTTGTTCTCTGTGAGATGAAGAGGGGACTGAGAGACATTGATTAATGGAAAAGCGTTGAGTCCCAAACAGACAATGCATGGGTGTAGTGGAAAACTGCAGAGGGAGGGAAGCCTGTGCCCTCTCCTGCTGACCCCAGGCCATGTCACAGTGGGGCTCCCAGGAAACATGGCTCCCAGGAAGTGGGGCTCCCAGGAAGTGGGCCTAATATGTCCCCTGTGGAAGGGAGGGCAGAGAGGAAGGCAGGCAGAGCGCCAGACTGGGAAAGGCTCAGCAGGATGCTTTGTAGATGGTCCCTGCTCACCACGTGCTGCTCTGTCTGGCACAGCAGAGAGCAATCAGCTCTGCTGGGGGTTGGTGACTGTCACCATGTTATCCCCTGCTGCTCCCTCTACCTTCCCCCTTTTAGAGAAAGCATTGCTATGTAGCCCGGGCTGACCTCAAACTCAGAACTCACGGCAATCCTCCTGCCTCAGCTTCTTGAATGCTGGGGTTACAGGCCTAAGTCTCCACGCCTGGCCTTTTTTCGTTGAATGCTTATTTTTGATTATTTTCTTCCACCTCTGGGGGCTTCACCCACCTCAGCCAGGAGCCCACCCGTCTCTGCCTCTGCCCTAGGGTAAGCCCACGCAGTGGGGCTACGGGCCTCAGGCCCAGGCAGCCCAGGAAACACAATCTTCAGAATCCGGGCATTTTCTTCCCCCCAAAAAAAAATAATTTTCTAGGGCTCTGGAGTTATAAAAAGCTGCCGTGTGTCATTTCCTGGCAGTGGGACAGCTGCAGAATGCCACTTGGCAGTGAGCGCTCCTCTCCTCCCCGAGCTTTGTCATCTGACGGATGTGCTGCTTGGAGAAGGCAGGCGAGGTTACCCGAGTCTGCTGGTTAACTTAGGGCAAAACCAACTGCAAAATCCATTTTGCAGCTCCTGGCTGGAGTGCTGCCAGCCCCACGGAGGCCCATGCAGAATTAGCAAGCAAGGTCTTGTGTATGAAGGAGGAGCTGGGTGCGATGTCGCATGCCTGTAATCCCAGCACTCAAGAGGCTGAGGCAGGAGGACTGCTGTGAGTTCAAGGCCAACCTGGGCCACAAAGTGAGTTCAAGGCCAGCATGAACTACAGAGCAAGACCTTGTCTCAAAAAAACCACACACACACACACACACACACACACACACACACACACAAGAAAAGAAAAAAACAGAAAACCTAAACCAAAAGAAAAGGAGTAGCCCTGGGGGTGGGAGGGGAGGACAGACCACTCAGACGGGTCAGCTTGCCGGCAGGCAACTCCTCTCCTGACACAGGCAGTGATACATCTTTGCCTCCTTCCTGTCCCAAGCCCCATGGAGACTCTGAGGGTCCTGCAGCGGTAGAAGCTGTTCCAGTCAGGAACCCACACCTACAGGATCCCGACGCTGCTCTACCTGCAGGGCCAGAGCACCCTGCTGGCCTTCGCAGAAAAGTGGAGGAGCCGGCAGGACGAGCAGGCAGACGTGATCGTCCTGCGCAGGGGAGCCTATGATGCAGCCAGCCACCGGGTCCAGGTGAACTGAGGGCAGCGGGCATCCAGCCACCAGGGTCCCACCACAGCGCCCTCACTGGTGCACTGGGACAGAGAGAAAAGACCTGAAGCCCAGGTGGGGTCAGGGAGCCACGCAGGAAGGGGCAGCAGGGTGGGCTCAGAGAGCACACACTGGCCGGCCATGTCTCATTCACTTGCTTCCGGCCAAGTTGCCTGGGGAGGAAGGTCCGTGATCGCACCATGGGGACTCAGGCAAACTCACCTGGGCACTAGGCTGGGCTTGGTGCCTGTGTCCTGAAGTGCCCGCTTGGAAATGAAGGGATTAATCATGACAAAGATACCGCAGCCTGGTTGTCACGGAGTTTAACAGTATTATTATCATAACAGTGGTCATTTAAAGCATGGAGTTAGAACTTTGTCCATATTCGTTGGATTTGAAGCAGGCAGACCTGGCACTGTCAGAGGGCAGAGGGTGACCTGGGGTGACTCAGAAACCTGCAGGCCTCTTGCTGTCCAGACAGGAGTTGGAGCTAAAATGCTGATCTCCAATTGGAGGAGATGGTGATGTTGGATTTTTTTGGCAAAGGGTGGCACCCTCCTAGGTGGATGCATTACTAGAGGATTGTGTGTGCAAGATGGAAGGTGATCATTGTATTCTGTGCTGCACTGGGCAGGCAATAAGGGGGAGTCCCAGGTCTCCCTTCTGAGGGGACAGTGTGAGTGGGAGCCAGAATGTTCCTCGTAGTCTTTATTCCACCCCAGTGCCCATGCCGAGTGTAACACTTGTCACTGTTGCCAGCTTTTTGAGGACTTTTCCTTCTCCCCTCTCTGCCCACTCAGTGGCAGGCTCAGGTGGTGGTGGCTGAAGCCCGGCTGGAGGGCTACCGCTCCATGAACCCGTGTCCTTTGTACGATGAGCAGACGGGGACCCTCTTCCTCTTCTTCATAGCTGTGCTGGGGCAGGTGTCCGAGGGCCAACAGCTCCGGACCGGGGTCAACGTGACCCGTCTGTGCCATGTCATCAGCAAGGACTCTGGGATGACCTGGGGCTCCGCCAAGGACCTCACCGACGAGGCCATTGGCCCAGCCCACGGGGAATGGGCCACTTTTGCTGTGGGCCCAGGGCACTGCCTGCAGCTGCACAATGGGACACGGGGCCTGGTGGTGCCTGCCTACACCTACCGCAAGCAGCCGGCCCCTCTGCCGCCTTCCGCCTCGGCCCTCT